CCTTTCAAGATCTTTTTCTGCCATTGCTAGTTTGACAGTTTTTCTAGTGATTTTATTTCGATTGATTTGTAAGTTTTTTCTTTATTAATTTTACTTTTACTAATTGCATTTGATTATCTTGAACACAATCATATGATTCTAAATGTGAAGGATGCTAGCCAAATCTGTAGTGAATTTTATGGCAATTTTACAAAATATTCACAGACAACTTTCCACGATTAAGTCAAGATCACACAAAATTGCATCTCTTCACAAATCAGTTGAGCCACTGTACCATAAGATCTTCAGTGATTCCATCTGTACTTTCTTTCCAAATTATGCTTGGATTATACTTACTGTCATAATCATCTTGTTCACCATGGAGCAGTTCGATAAGAACTGCATCTGCATTTATCACTATCTTGACATTCCACTTATCTGAAGGCTCTTTTCCGTGCCCTAATTATTTTACTATATTTATCTTTGTGAATCAACATCTAGTAGCGTGAAGATACCGTCATCTTAAAATTTTACATCCAGAAGAGATTTAAAAAACTAAAATTTGTGATGCAACAAAATTAACTTAAGTAAAAAAATTTGCTTTAATTTTTTTATCAAAAACATCAAGTTTTATTTACACAGAAAAAAAGTTTATTTCTGTTCATCAATGATGATGTATTGTGAACTTTACTCAGAGCGATGTACGAACTAGTTCGTATACTGCCAGCATCAATTCCATTGTATAAATTAATTGGTCTGAGTAAAGTAAAGATTATTATTCAAATTTTGTTTTCATATGCTTTTAATAACGAATTCAACAATTTAGTCTTTCTTCAGGCTTTGGCGAACCACCATGAATAAGGTGCAGCTGAAGCATTTACGAGTCTTAACGAAAATTTCTTGCTAGAGACAGCTTGAGTGGCTATTCTTTTTTGATTTCAAATGTTTTTCGTTTTCACCAAATAGAAGTCTTGCAGTGTGCAGAAATTTTATCGCTCAGAAGATGACCTTAGTTCTATTTAGAGGTCAAATTAACCTCTGAAATTAAATCCGCTTGAAAAAGGTGATACTACGACTCGAGAAGATTTTTGGAAATTTCAGTTTTCTGGCATCAGTAGTCTTCAAGTTAACCCAAAGAGGTAGGAAAATGCGGAAAACGTTCGGTACAATAATTTTGAATCAAAATACGCTATACAAGAAGTAATGGAAAAATGCTTTTGTGTTTTGACTGGAACAAAACAATATAAGATGTCTTTTTGATTGATTTATTTTGATAGTTTCAATGACGATTTGATCTACAACCCATTTAACCTACTCAGTCAACGTAAATTCAGCCTTTTTTCATCATTTTATTTGATCGTTTCAATAGCGAAGTCAAAGCGCAATGCCTTCAGCTTATCTGTCAATGTGCTTGCACAGTATTTGGCAATTGATAGACAATGTTTCAACAGGTTTAAATGGATAAAGTCAATAGCTTCATTTGAAGTAAGCTAATGTAAATATATTTTGTTTATGTATCAATAAATTGAGTCAAAAATGAAATAAAAGGAGAAAGTTTCATTCTCTATTAAATTGCCATGAAGCAAAGTAAATAGTGATGATGATATATGACCTTATTTATCAAAAATTTTCAATGTTTGATTTAATCATTGATATCTTCAAATTTTATAGTTTCAACATTTATCATCCTTTCTTCCCTTTCATCCCACACGAAAGCAACACAGTCTGAAAAGCTTCAACAAATCAATAACGATCGAGAATTGTTGATTCTCTTCAATCAGAAAAGTTTCAACCGAAAAGCTTTCAGAAATTCTGGCCAACTAGGCAATCCTGAACAGCACAGATCACTTAACATCCCTTTAAACAGCCACAAAAAGCTCGACGAAACTGTAATTGATTTCAACTCGCTCGGAAGCTTGAATTTTTAAAGTTTTTTCGTCCTCAAGGATGACACGATAACAAGGTCGAAGCACTACTTCAGTGCAGTTGGAATGATGATGCTATCAGAAGGCATTAATAGTGTTGAGTTGGACAAGTTGATTAGTCTTTGTACAATTTTTGCAAAAAACAAGAGTTATTGGGGAAAAGTTGTAACTCTAATCATCAATTTGTTTCATGGAAAATTGTACTGAATCATTTGGAGAAAACAAATCAATTGAATCTTTTAATCTCTCTGCTTTTGAGGTTTTTGTGTTTCTATTTTATCCGACCAAATCCATGGCAAGTCTTTATCCGTCCAACTAAATAGTCTTACCATTTTGTCTCGTACCTTGATCCTGTCCAATCAATCGTAACTCAAACCTTCTAACTTTGTCTCCATTGTGAAGCAAAAGGCAAACTTGATTATAAGTTGAGTCAACCTTTTTGTTTTCAGTGTTACACTTTTCTCATTGCGTTGCAAGAAAAAATATTTTGAAGTTAAACATAAACTTTTAGACATCTTCAACTGTTAATCATGAAATTTGAAGCCATTAAAACAAGAAAAGAGTCTTCAAAAAACTCGACTTTATCCAACTGTCAACCAGCTAATGATATCCAAAAGATGAAAATGATGAGGAAATGTTTTTTTAGCAAAATTCATAATTTAGTTGTAAAAGCAAAAACGATATTTTTAGCTATTTTAAGTGATAGTTGAACCTCTACATCGAGCTGTTAATGAGATACATGAGGGTGAAGCCCGAGTCATCTCATGACTTCGACATTTTATTTGGCATACGTTTGCAAGTCACCAAAGAAAAGGCCGTTTTTCGAAAAATCGTCAGAGCCGGAAAAGTGCCGCATTCTCGTGGTTATCGAAACTCAGGCCGAACAAAAAGCACAATTTTTTTGCGCTAAATGGTAGTTGCGAGTTGTAAACCTTCAAAAATCCGACCTATTGACTGATACACCTTTAACCATTTGATTGATTCTGGTTGCCTTAAAAAATGGTTTAATCACTTTTCTGAAGATAACCAGTTTACTCAAAAGAATGAGAAAATTACAAAAAAAATGTTGAGATTAAATATTGGTCTAAGTCAGTTAAACCACAAGATCTCGAAGTTATGGGATGAAACACTTGGCTTCGTCCTCGCAGCTTATGTAACTTCTCGCTGCAGTGGTTCAACTATCACTTGAAAGATGAAGATGATGAGATGTTTTTTTTTCAAAATTCATTTCTTCTTTGCCAACCTTTTCTCTTTTCTTTGATTTTCCCATCATTCTTTTATTATTGCTTCTTCTTCTTTAGTTTTTCACTCCATTAACTTTTCATCTGAGGTTAAGTTATTGGAAATTTTGATAAACCATGAGAAAAGATGAAATGAAATCGAGGAATGAAATTGTCTTCAAATTATCATAAGTAAATGTTTTTCTTTCTTCTGTTAAGTTGATTAGATGGAATGGTTGAAGAGCTCAAGCTGAGAAAATGATTTCAACGATATTATTGAAACATGAAGAGATTGGCGAAACGGAAATGAACAACTTTAAATGAAAACAAATTAAAAAAAAATATTGACAGAGTAAAGAAGATGAGAAGAAATTATTCTTTTTTCATCATTTTTACCCAAAGATGATTTGAATTGCAAGATGAAAAATGGAAATGAACATTTCAAGTTTCCAATTGCTCATTTAAATAATAATCGTGAAACTGGAAGAAGGAGAAAACCCAAGTGAAACAAATTTGATTCTCAATAATCATTCATTCCAAATCATTGTTTACATACTTGATCAAGTTGAAAGGGAAAGAGTGGAAAGAAGTGGAAAAGTTGAAGAAAAATTGGAAACAAAATATTTGATTTATTAATATTTACTAATGATGAATTTAATATTAAACTTTTGCTTGAAACACAAGTTGAAATTGTTTTCCATTGCCTTTGAGTAGAGACAAAGTTTATTACGTTTTAGTCGATTCTTTCTTCTTCTTCTTCATCATCAAATTATCATTTCCACCAAATACAAAGTGATCAGAGGGAACAAAGTTCACCATGAACATGAATTTTATCCAATCATGATTCGAGGAGAAGAATGATGAGGGAAAGAAACTTTTCCTACGAGAATACATTTTGTTGTCTTTTTTTATTCTTTCATCTGCTTTTTTCTTCTTCCATTCTGCCTTTTCTGTTTATCAAATCTTCAAAGACAAGTATCGATATGAAATGTTTCCTCGGGCAGTTTAATAATCTTATTACATTATATACATGGTTGATATTATTTGATGAAAATGTTTTCGTTTGATGAACAAGAAGGAGCAACGACAAGAGTTGAAATCGACAAAATCATCGACTTTTTCAATCTCACAGAATTCATCAATTTTTCATCTTGAAATCGAAGAAACTTGCTGAAGGTTCTGCTCAGAAATTTTTAGTTTTAACATCACAGAAAACTTTGAAACTTTTCGAGAGAGGAATTGATTACTGACGGCATGCACAGAACAATTGATCAAGAGTACGGAGCAATAATGCAGGATCAAACCATAAGTTCTTTTTTTCTCAGACCAAAAATTCCAAAAAGTCCAACAAAAGACGAAGTCAGAGAACTCAACTAAAACAGTTTGAGATAACTTCCATTAACGAACAATTTTCGTTTTCAAATTTATGACGATTCACCATCCTTCAGTTTGTTGTAGATTAATTTGATGATTACAAGCTACGGAACTTCTATTCTTCGTCACTTTCAATGAGTCTTATTTATGGAAGCTTATTAAATGATGGTCAGAATATATGATACAATGTAATTGATTTCAGAATATCAATTTTCTCTTATTTGTCTTTGCCGCTTTACTTTTCTTTACTCGGGATCTCACATTCACTTGACCTTTTTATTGTTGATTAGCATTTAATTAAACTGTTGACTGTTCAATATTATAATACGATGATGATGAATAATTTTTACGCAAAAAAATTCAATTTTGATTACATTGGAACCAATCAAGATTAAAATGTTGATGGAAAAGTCAATGAAAGTTGATAATTCAATTAGTTCAACAGATTTCAAGAAAAGTTGCACTCATTGAAAATTGAAAATGTTTTTCTGCTTAAACTTACCAATTTGTGAATCACCGTTAATTGGACTAATCAAAGTTGGTAAAAGAAGTGTCGACAAAATTAGAAACATAATTGAAAATGTAAATCCTTGAATTGTTATGCTTTTATCCAATGTTTAATGATGAACAAATATTCTCAATTAAAATCACTTTATGTTTAGTTGATCATTGAGAGGTAAAACAATTGAACATTAATAGTTTATTGGGATTGATTGGATAACTATTGAACAAGAAAAGGTGTTAATTTGTTGAATTACTTTTTCTTTTTCACTTTTCTGTTAACTTTAATAATAACATCATGTTGTATCATAATACTAGGCAAGATAAGAAGTGATTGTCAGATTTTCATCTCATCGTTTCAGCATCCTCTTAACCTCCTCCTCTTCATCATCACAGTTTATACCTTTAAATGCTCATGCACCATCTATTGGGATGGAAACAAAGTTACTCCAAGTTGACTGACTAACAAAGATTTCCCAACAAAGCGCTGCTTACACGCAAAACAAGAAGCGAGAAAGTTTTTACTCTTCAGAAGCTTAATTTTAAATTAAAACTTTTACACAACCTGAAAGCCATGATTGGACTTCATGTCCGAGAAACTGTCGTAATCAGAATTAAGGTTACTAAGAAAGCAATCTGTGAATTCAACTTTAAATTTTCAGTTAAGAGTTAGGACTTTGTAGGTTTGTAAGCACATGAAAACTGAGTCCATCAAAAAGAGAAACGAAAAACGATGCGCATTAATTTGCAAGCCTTAATGTTTTTGAATGTCTATCCATATCCAATAAATTTGGATTAATTTTGTTATTTCATGTTGCATGAAACAAAAAAGTCTACAACACCGGGGGTTCCCAAGTGGTCTCCCTCCCAAGTACTAACCCGGCCCGAAACTGCTTAACTTCGGAGATCGGACGGGATCCGGTGTTTTCAGTCTGGTATGGTCGTAGACACAAAAATGGTTCAACACTGCAATATAAACATAAAGACTTATTTCAACAGCAAATGCCTTGAATGAACGATTTTCTAGTAAAACGTGTTAACTTTATGCGCTCTCTCTAGACAAGATTTGAGTTGTCTAGGTTACTTTATTTTAAGCGGGAAATTGATCGCTACTTTGAGCACTTAAACTGTAAAATTTGGTTTGCTCCTCGATTGCTACTGATGAGAAAACTTGAGCGGACTCATCAGAGAGCGAGCAAAACATTTCTCTTGCAATGTAGGTAAAGTATTACAAATAAGATCGACAAAAAATCTCAAATTGAAATGAGCTGTGTTTAAATTGAAAACAATTTCAATTTGAATTAATTGGGAAGTCTGATGATTCTATTTTTGAACAAAAAAAGTCAATTAATGCGTGAATTAAAATACCGAAACCTTCAGCAATTAATCATGATCTATTCAAGAGAAATATTCGATAATTATCAAAACCGAAGCGAACTCTATGAGATTGATCTTGAACCTGAAAGCGAAAAATTGGAGAACTGAGTCACGAGTTTGCAGTTGAAGATAACCTGAAGTTAATTTTGATCCTTTTGCTCAACTGAAGTCAGATCATTGTTAATCAGTCAACTTGGAGTAACTTTGTTTCCATCCCAATAGATGGTGCATGAGCATTTAAAGGTATAAACTGTGATGATGAAGAGGAGGAGGTTAAGAGGATGCTGAAACGATGAGATGAAAATCTGACAATCACTTCTTATCTTGCCTAGTATTATGATACAACATGATGTTATTATTAAAGTTAACAGAAAAGTGAAAAAGAAAAAGTAATTCAACAAATTAACACCTTTTCTTGTTCAATAGTTATCCAATCAATCCCAATAAACTATTAATGTTCAATTGTTTTACCTCTCAATGATCAACTAAACATAAAGTGATTTTAATTGAGAATATTTGTTCATCATTAAACATTGGATAAAAGCATAACAATTCAAGGATTTACATTTTCAATTATGTTTCTAATTTTGTCGACACTTCTTTTACCAACTTTGATTAGTCCAATTAACGGTGATTCACAAATTGGTAAGTTTAAGCAGAAAAACATTTTCAATTTTCAATGAGTGCAACTTTTCTTGAAATCTGTTGAACTAATTGAATTATCAATTTTCACTGACTTTTCCATCAACTCTTTAATCTTGATTCATTCCAATGTAATCAGAATTTAATTTAATTCTGTTGCGTAAAAAATTATTCATCATCATCATATTATAATATCAAACAGTCAACAGTTTAATTAAATGCTAATCAACAGTAAAAAGGTCAAGCGAATGAGAGATTCTGGGTAAGAAAAGTAAAGCGGCAAAGAAAAAGGAGCGAATTGATGTTCTGGATGCAACAATTGAATATCATTGAATGAGTTTCCCTATTGCGATCAACAATCAACAAGAGAGGATAAAAAGTGTGCATCACTCTCCATTAAATTATCCGTAAAAAAGCTTCTTCTTCTTCTTTGATCCATATTAAATGGTGAATCTTGAAATTTTTAGTCCACATTCTTTGCTGTTTATTTCTTTTCAACAAAGCGGCCCGTTCAATGGTAAACAAAGCCATGGCATTGAGCCCAACATTGTTGCTTCTCAGCTTGTTATATTTAGTTTTTGATCCAAATTTGCGCAAATCATTAGCTCATTTTTTAGCTCATTTTCACTATTTTTTGCGATTATTCAACTCCTCTTTCTATCTCTCAACCTTCTTCCTTTGCTTAGATCTTCATCTTTTGCCCTGCCGCATTAACAACCATGAGATTAGTTTTTTCATTCAATTTACATCAATTAGCATCTTTGTTCAGTTCACCGGCAAGCTTGAATTTCATCATAAGAACCATTGTCAAATGAAAGCAATAACGTGGTTTTCAGTTGTTTCAACGTTTTCAGAAAAGAAAGAGTTGAGAAAAGTTTGAAAAATATTACGCTTTTGTAAACAGCTGATTGGTATTAGATGAGTTCAATCTTCACGTTAGTCTGGAAGAGTAAAATAAGTTTTTGCTCGATTTTTGGTTTGGTCAAATTCTGATGATAGTGCTAAGCAGAGGATGATAATCATGTTCAACTTATTACCTTATTAAACTGTTGACATACATTTAAGTTAATGAGTTAATCAATTGCTTGCCAATGATGAGTTATTGAAACTCCCTGGTTGACTTTTGTTTCCATGTATGTAACTGTTGAGAGCTGTTACAAGCTAGGAAACATCTAAGCTACATCTTCTGTCGATCATCCACGAATTCCAGCATATTTTCTCTAGCAGACTGACTTGAATTTTTCACTGAAGTATCTGATTGATAGGTTGGACAGCACGAAAACCTAAAAATCCACAATTCAAATCAAATATATCTAGGAAAAATAGTAATACAGCACTACGATATTGTCCAGTTAAATGATTATGATGTCGAACCTGATTTGCATCAAGGTTTTTTCGCACATTTGACATCTGGAAGCGTTAATGAAAGCATACTTATTGTATCCATTATGCAATCTTTACATCTACTGACACCAAAAATCTTTTAGCCGAACCTCAGTCCTCTGATGTTTATTAGACAATCTGTAAGGACTCGATGACCAAAATGGTTATTGACATGATTTGTGACTCTTTTGATTATCTTCTTGTTCCAATCAGTAACAAATTAACCAAAAAACGTGTTGACTGGTGAGTTGTTGTTTCGAAGCAACTTCTGTAGCTACAGAAAAACATTGAAAATCTGCATGTACAATGGCATTGTTTTCTTGTTTAAACTTTACCTAAAAAGTCAGATCTTTACTTGCTTTTAGTTGGTCAGAGCATTAGAGCACAATTTGTTAGCAGATACTTCCAGATCAGTAGGTGTAAGTCTAGTTTAGTTTTGAAACGAAAACCAGAGAGTGTTCAGAATATTCACCTGTAACATGTTGTACATGTCCAACAATCTAGTAAAGTTTCTGATCAAAAAGTGAAGCTTTACAAGCAAGAAAAGCTCAATCGGCACCTCAACTTAGTGCTTTGAAAAATACAAAGTATTTAAACTGATCTAAAGTAAAGATGTTTAGACTTTGCAAAAGGTTTCAACAATAACAATCTGTGCAAATTGAACAAGAACATTTTATCTGAATAATTGTTTCATTTTCTGAATAAAACACGAGTCATTGTTGCGAAATTTCCAGAATTTTTTCTTCTTCTAAAGTTACTTTTTCGTTCGTCAAAATTAAAGGGGTATATGACAGTAAATTTTGCGATCTCAAATTTTACCAAATATTGATTTTCTGATAGAGCATGAAATATAACTAGGTTTAACCTTATAGTGGCCTCTGTGAGGTTTACCGTTCGGCCACAATAGCCGTCCAAAGTTGAAAATTCACGAATTTTTTTCAATGATATCTCTTTGACGGATTGTGATAGATGGTTCTAACTTAGTATTATAAATCCTCTAATATACATATATGTCCTGAGAAATAATGAAATGTTCAAATCATTTCCTTCTCGAGTTATTAAGCCAGACCACTTTTCACTCCCATTTTCTTTTTCATCGATAACTTGGTTCAAGCACCCATGAGAATTTTTTCCAATAGTGCAAAATGTTGCTCAAGACTGCTGCTATGCCCTGAGACATGATCTGTGATCTGTGATCTGAAAAGTGATCTGGCTTAATAACTCGAGAAGGAAATGATTTGAACAGTTTATTATTTCTCAGGACATATATGTATATTAGAGGATTAATAATACTAAGTTAGAACCATCTATCACAATCCGTCAAAGAGATATCATTGAAAAAAATTCGCGAATTTTCAACTTTGGACGGCTATTGTGGCCGAACGGTAAACCTCACAGAGGCCACTATAAGGTTAAACCTAGTTATATTTCATGCTCTATCAGAAAATCAATATTTGGAAAAATTTGAGATCGCAAAAATTACTGTCATATACCCCTTTATCATTCAAAGTTTTCTTCTTTCAACTTTGTAATCGATAAAATGTATTCTTTTATCTTTTCTATCATCTCAAAATTATTCTTGCTCACATTGACATTCAGAGTGTTCACATGAAACTTTCATATTCCATGTTGTCAATGTTGTTTTTTGTCCCTTTCTCATCATTCACATTTCCAATTGCATGAGAATTTTTTTCTTCTTCTTTTTTCTTCTAGTTACTCATTTCAGTTGAACGATGAAAGTGACTACTTCACAATCTGAATGCATCTGAACAATCTAAATCAGATGAAGATCATGTTGAATGATCAAATCAAAGCCTTGAGGTTATACCAGCAAGACTATGAAGTAGAGGAAAAGAAGCGACAAATAATGTATTAGATAATGTAGATTATTTGTTCATTTTCCTTCACTTTTTTCATGTCTTGCTTGTTGATTCAATAACAAGGATAATCATGATAAATCAATGAAATAATTTTCACATTTTCCCTTCAACTCTATCAATTGAAATTGAAAGGAAAACCTTGATTCAATATTCATATTCCAATTGCTTTCAGCATCCCTCAGAATTGGTGAAACGATGAGAAGAAGACAATTGAACATTTTATTGACTGATGTAGAATAATTTCAACCAAGAAATGAAAATGTTTCTTCTTCTTCTTCTAAATATAATGATATAAATTATTTCAAGTGATTCAAGTAATAAAATGTTGCCCAGATTGAACCATGAATATAATAACAACTATCCATGAATGAATAAACTAGGGAAGAGAAGAAGAAAAGGAAAATAACAATCTTTTTGCCATTTTTTACTCTTCTTCTGATAACATATTCAAATGGTACAATAAAATGATGAAAAATATATTAAACTCAAATTGTTATCAAGATGAAACATGAAAGTATTAAGATAAGCCTGATTAAGCAAGAAACAACGAGAAAAGTAGAAACAAGATGAAGAGAGAAAAGGATGAAATAAAGATTTGTGTGATTAAGAATAGAGAAATAATGTGATGAGAAAATGATGGAAATTTTTCTTCTTCATCAAATATCATATTCTAATTCATCATAAACATACGTCGAGTCCAAGTTGAACTGGGAGTGAGACTGGGAATGAGAAAAGAACAGATAAAAAAGATCGAAACTGATAACCGACAATTACTGTTTTTGCCTTTTCTTCTCAATCGTTTCGCTCTTATCATGAGCTGACTAAAGAGCACATCAGTTAATGATTGCTTCTAGGGAATGATTCTTATTCCAATGATGAGTCTAATAATAATGTTAATGATAATGATTCTCACGATATTCCATATTCTGTTTTTTTCTCTTCTGTCGTTTCTTCCTTCTGACATTCTCACTGTTTTCCATCTTGCTTCTTCTTCACTAATCGTTCTCTCCTTTCCTGGTTCACAACCAATTCTGTAACTACATTTAGGTGTTCTAACAAGATTAATGATTCTTCTCTGGTTTAGACAGATTTTTATCTTCAATTTTGCCAACTAAAAACAATGAATACCTTCTTAGTTTCGCAGTGAATCAAGACCCAAAAATTCGCATCTTCTTTATCCCATTCTTTCCTCTGTCAGTTTACATCACAAGATGAAAAGATGAAGAAAAAAGTGTTTTCTTTTCATGAACTTTTCAATCAAGACTGGAAATTTTAAACTTTTTTCTCGTCCTTCTTTCCACCGACAAATTGGTAAATCAAACTCAATCTTTTGTTTTGCAAAACTTGAAACAAACTTCTTCTTCTTCCATCAAACCATTCTTATCATCTCGTCACTTTATCCTTTCACTGCCTTATTATGCATCATAATTTGAATTTATCGAATAAAGTTGAAGGTAGAAAAAAAAGACTTTACATTAAAATTCTGTTGCAATTTTGCTCTTTCCATCATTTCCATTTTATCACTTCCATTGATAACTTGCAAGAAGACAGTTTTGCACGATCAAATATGTTGTCAATCAGAGTTTGCCTTTTGTGCAACCTTCATCTCAGCATCCTCATCATTATCACTCTTAATCTGTCACAATTTTAACCTCTAAAAATTTCCATCAATTGATTCTCATTATCAAGCAAATTAACGAAGAAACGAAAAAAAAGTCGATTTTTTCCAAGCCATTCTTG